CAGCCTCCTCCCCTGTGACTATGACTCTTTCATGTATCTGGCTTTAAAGCCCCATGTCTACCTTCAGACAGACTATTTATGTAGGCTGCTTTATTTATCTTATGTTTTAGTCACCCTGTACCCATTATAGGTGCAGGGTGTGTGTAATGTAATTGTTTATAGTGTGTGTGTGTGTACTGTGTAATGTATTGCCTGCTCTCTTGTATTGCTGAGGTTTGCTACCAACTAGGTGGGTTTGGCTATGGAGAAGGTCTAGTGCCCTCTGTTGGTAGCAACAGCAATATTCACTACCTGAATTGCAAGACTGGTTCATTTGCATATTCGGGTAGATTTGCATATTGCTAATTCTGCAGGCAGGTGTGATATTTACTGTTAAATATTGTCTCCCCCCACCCCTTTAAAAATGTGCCATTGTGTTGTGATAAGTCACTGTGTGTTTCTTGATATGGTTTGACTGTTTGTGATTTTATTGAGGTTTTACAACAATGTTATTGTGGTGACTGTATTGGCTGGTCCCAAGGGAATAAAGGTTTTGACAGTTCTTCTTGATCCCTCTAAACGTAGCCTTGTCTCGTTATTGTAGGGAGCCATTATAATCACACTGGGGATTGCTATGCTCTGCAAGCTCCCCTGAGCTTGAATCAATTAGCTCTTTTAAGAGCTTGTTCCTGACACGCTCTCCTTGGAGGAGGGGTCTTCACCACACAGTCCTGGATGCTGGAGGTTCATACAGGGTGGAAGGAAGAGTTCTTTCCCACACAGTACTGGAGGACAGAAGCTGATCCAGGGTGGAAGGAAGACGGCGAGACTCCAGTCAAGATACGGCGGTTGCGGAGTCTGCGGTGGTTGTGGTGTCTGCTGCAGCGCTTGGAGTCCTCAGGAAGCACTAGGAGCATCCGTCAATGGAGGGTACTCAGTCGGAGTACAAGGAGCTCCGTTACAGTGATGAAGACAGAATGCTCTATAAGATTAGACAGAAAGAGGCTAAGCAAGTTATAAGAGCTTCCAAATCACACACTGAAGAGAAAATAGCACAGTCAGTAAAAAAAGGGGACAAAACATTTTTAGATACATAAATGAGAAAAGGAAAGTAAAACAAGGATTAGTTAGATTAAAAACAAAAGAAGGAAGGTATGTAGAAGAGGATAAAGGTCTAGCTGACTGCCTCAATTAATATTTTTGTTCAGTATTTACAGATGAAAATAAAGGAAATGGACCTCAGTTAGGAAAAAGGACAAATGAGTAATTTATTACATGTGAGTTTACAGAGGAAGAGGTTTTAATTCAACTGTCAAAAGTAAAGACAAATAAGTCAATGAAACCGGATGGAATACACCCAAAGTTATTAAAAGAGCTTAATGGTGTACTAGCAAAAACCATTAACAGATTTATTTAATCAATCATTGTTAACAGGAGTAGTCCCAGAAGATTGCAAATTCGCAAATGTTGTGCCCATTCATAAGAAAGGTAGAAGGGAGGAGTCGGGCAACTATAGGCCAATAAGCCTTACTTCAGTAATGGGGAAAGTAATGGAAACCATGTTAAAGAATAGGATTGTTGAACATCTAAAAACACATGGATTTCAAGATCAGAGACAACATGGGTTTACTTCAGGGAGATCATGTCAAACTAATCTTAAAGATTTTTTGATTGGGTAATTAAAATAATAGATCAGGGTGGTGCAGTAGACATTGCTTACCTAGATTTCAGTAAGGCTTTTGACACTGTTGCACATAGAAGGCTTATCTATAAACTGCAATCTTTAAGTTTGGATTCCAATATTGTTGAATGGGTAAGGCAGTGGCTGAGTGACAGGCAACAGAGGCTTGTAGTCAATGGAATATATTCGAAGATTGGGCTTGTCACCAGTGGGGTACCTCAGGGATCTGTACATTTTCTTTAATATTTTTATTAGTGACATTGCAGAAGGACTTGATGATAAGGTATGTATTTTTGCTGATGATACTAAGATATGTAACAGGGTTGATGTTCCAGGAGGGATAAGACAAATGGCAAATGATTTAGGTAAACTAGAAAAATTGTGGCAACTGACATTTAATGTGGCTATGTGCAAGATAATGCATCTTGGACGTAAAAACCCAAGGACAGAGTACAGAATAATTGATAGAGTCCTAACCTCAACATATGAGGAAAGGGATTTAGGGGTGATTATTTCTGATGACTTAATGGTAGGCAGACAATGTAATAGAGCTACAGGAAATGCTAGCTGAACGTTTGGTTGTATAGGGAGAGGTATTAGCAGTAGAAAGAGGGAAGTGCTCATGCCATTGTACAGAACACTGGTGAGACCTCACTTGGAGTATTGTACGCAGTACTGGAGACCGTATCTTCAGAAGGCTATTGATACTTTAGAGAGAGTTCAGAGAAGGGCTACTAAACTGGTTTATAGATTGCAGGATAAAACTTACCAGGAAAGGTTAAAGGATCTTAACATGTATAGCTTGGAGGAAAGACGAGACGGGGGGATATGATAGAAACATTTAAATACATAAAGGGAATCAACACAATAAAGGAGGAGACCATATTTAAAAGAAGAAAAACTACCACAACAAGAGGACATAGTCTTAAATTAGAGGGGAAAAGGTTTAAAAATAATATCAGGAAGTACTACTTTACTGAGAGGGTAGTGGATGCATGGAATAGCCTTCCAGCTGAAGTGGTAGAGGTTAACCACAGTAAAGGAGTTTAAGCATGCATGGGATAGGCATAAGGCTATCATAACTATAAGATAAGGCCAAGTTGCTGCATCAGAGACTGGTATAGGAGCAGTGTTGTCACAGCGTAAAGAACCTGATCAACCTCTTCATCCCTGTGGATTTTATTCCAAAAACTATCTGACACTGAAAGGAGGTATGATATTGGAGATAGGGAACTCCTTGTTATTATTTTGACATCGAAGGGATGGGGTCATCTTTTAGAAGGTACTCCAACTCAAATAACTTTACTTACAGACCACATATTGAGAGGCCAAACATCTGTCTGCCAGAAAAGCTTGTTGGTCTCTTTTCTTGAGCAGGTTTAACTATATGCTGATATATAGACCTGGGTCGAAAAACTCCAAGGCTGATGCGTTGTCCAGACAGTGCAAACCTCTTGCATGTCCTGAAACCAGTATAACTTCTATTGTTCCTCAGCAAAGTATTATTGCTAATACTAGAATAAATATACAGTCTTCACTGGCTTCGGACATTTATTCCAAACAAAACCTAGCTCCTAAGAATCTTCCTGAGGGCAAGATACACATTGGTCTTCCTGCGTGATGAGGAAAATGTGGAAGCTTTATGGGTAAATATCTGCTTGGGGCAAAAGAAGGGAAATCAACTATTGGTTGGGATATGTTATAAACCACCTAACGTTAATATTGACAAGGAACAACAGCTGTTTGAGCAAACTGAGAAAGTTGCAAATCTGGGTAACACTTTAATTATTGGAGATTTTAATTACCCGGACATAAATTGGGACAGAGGGACTAGGAGCTCAGCAAAAGGAATTAGGTTTTTGAACTTCCTAAATGACACCTTCATGTCACAACTTGTACAAGCACCAACTAGAAAGGATGCTTGTCTGGACCTGGTTTTAACAAACAACGTTGATCTTTTGACCAACATTCAAGTAAGTGAGCACTTGTGAAATAGTGCTCACAATATAGTATCATTTTAAATAAACTCAAAAAAACAAAAGCACATGAGGTATACTAACACATATACTTTTAAAAATGCCAATTTCTATAAGTCAAGGACAGCTTTACAATAGATTGATTTGCATAAACTCTTTAGTGAAAAGAACACTGAGGATAAATGGAACATCTTCCAACAAATATTAGAAAGGTACATTTCTCAGTATGTACCATTGGGTAATAAATATAAAAGAAACAAATTGAAACCAATGTGGCCTAGTAGAGAAGTAAAACAAGAGATAAAAAATAAGAAAAGGGCATTTAAAGCATTTACATCTGACAAATCAGATGCATACTATAAGAGATGATATAAGGAAGCCAATGATGCGTGCAAAAAGGTGATTAGATTCGCTAAACTTCAAAATGAAAAAAATCATAGCCAAAGAGAGCAAAACCAACACCAAAGCATTCTTTAAGTACATAAATTCTAACAAAAACTAAAAATTCAAGTGTAGGTAGACTAAAAACTGGAATGGGGGTGTTAGTTAATGAAGACCAGGAAAAGGCAGGAATTTTAAATAACTATTTCTCCTCCTTTAAGGAAGAACCCATGGCAATAGATGTGCAAATGATTGTTGCTAAAAACTTGCAGAATAATTGTAATTGGTTAACTCAAGACAAGGTGCTGCAGCAACTAAAGAAAGTTAATATAAACAAAGCTCCAGGGCCTGACAATATTCATCCATGAGCATAGGCGTGCATACAGGGTGTGCCGGGTGTGCCTGGGCACACCCTAATCCCCGTGGCATGCCTATGTATTGAGACCGGCAGGGGAGATCTCAGGATTTCCCCTGTCGGCTCATGCAGAGCCGGTGCTATCCGAGCGCCGGCTCTGCTCTAAGCCTCCATGGGCCGGTGGGGAGATCAAACATCTCCCTCACCGACCCACATGCAGGGAGTGAGGCTCTATCCAGCAGCTCCGCCGGGTTCCTCTCGTGAGATGTGAGCGTTGCCGCGGCAGCACTCAGTTCTCGCGAGAGTGAACTCTAGCCCCGCAGGATAGAGTTCACTCTCCACTGGACCACCAGGGAAGGTAGCAGGAACAAGGATGCTCCCTCCCTACATAAGGTAAGAAGGGATATTAACTGATCTGCCCCCACCTCCACTGGACCACCAGGGAAGGCAGCAGCAGCAAGGTCCCCCCTCCCTACATAAGGTAAGAAGGGAGGGGGGATCTTTATTAACTAATCTGCCCCCACCTCCACCCCCACAATCCCTCCAAACATACAGCACACACACACAGCACCCACACACATACAGCACCCACACACACACACAAACAGCACCCACTCATACAGCACACAAATGAAGGAATATTGACCCCTTAAGGACACATGACATGTCATGATTCCCTTTTATTCCAGAAATCTGGTCCTTAAGGGGTTAAACAATTAATCTGTCAGTATTTCAGAACTGCTTGCAAAACATAACTGAAAGGAAGTCACAAGCTATGACAGTTTCTATGTATCAGGAAATGCCTAACCACAATGTATATGTGATATTTTGTAAGATTAGATTATTGAATGTAACAGCAGAAACTACTTCCTCTTTTATGTATCTTGTGTAACCTTTTTGTAACCTTTTTGTAACCTTTTGTAACCAATATTCGTGACAAGTATAGTATAAATATAGCGAATCTTGAATAAACGATCAGAAGATTATGGAGAGCAAAAAGTGTGTGTCTGGTTAATACGCTTCCATAAAAATCTTCCCTGAATATTCAGCTGACAATCGAGGGTTGGAGAATAGTGACCAGAGGGACCGAGTCACCAGAGTAGCAGATTTACCTTTCAGCTTGGTGTCAGAAGTGGGATTGTAGCCAAAACCATTTTGGGTGAGTAGTAATTCCTTGTGTCTATCTTGACGCCCTGAATCTATGATCCCCATGGTTTTGTAAGTCTACATCATTTTAGGAAAGGTTATTTAGTATATGTGTTTTCTGTGACTCAGTTTTACATAAGGTCCCGTTACATTAGTCTAGTAAGGGAACTAGACAGAGAGATATATGTATTTCTAGTAAGTGAACTAGAGAAGGTCTAATAAGAGAATTGGACAGATAAAGTCTATAAAGTGATATAGACAGAGAATTTAGTATATAAGTGAATATACTACGATAGTGTGCACAGAGTTTCAGGTTCACCTTGTCCACCCTCTAATTGTCATTAGTTAAGTCTGGTTGTGAGTGTGAATAAGTGTTTGAAAGATTTGTCCTAGGAATGGGAAATTACCATGTAAGAATATGAAGTAGTTAACTTTTCTTGTTCATATGTATTTTATGCTTAAATAAGGTTTATAATCATTAGTGCTGACTGTAAGGATATGAAATAGTTAAACTCTTTTTGCTTTATATGCTAACCCTGAAAATATACTCACTGAGAATCTTGTTAAAGCACATTTGTAGTGTCCATGTCTTTATTGCAAAAAAATGATTCTCCATCAATGGGGTGATTGTCTATACTGGGGACACACTTTGGTAAGTTAGTAGTGTGTCCACCCTGAGTCAGCAGTATGGGAAATGTGAGTTCAGGTCCTGAGTGACCAATATATATATACATAAGATACCAGTACTGTATATTAGAAAAGAACTGACTCGCAGGTTGTACCTGATAGACCTACTTAAATCTTTTGTTTTATTCTTTCTGTTGCATAGAAGTATAAGTTTATTACTCTGTTTTATTGCAAGTTATTTCACATGGGATCTGTGTGCCTGATATGATTGTTGCTTTAATACCATAAGCCCACTACACTTTCTATGAGAGTGGGATAGTGTAAATGTGTTGCATTGTTTGCATGATGAGCTCAGTATTTTTAGAACTGAGACAAAAAGTCACTTCATTAGTATTTGAACGTTAATTCCCCATATGGGATTAATTGTATAGAAACACCAATCAGCACATCTTCCCTGCCCTGTGTGTTTGTTGCAAAGGATCCATACCATTAATATGATTTTTGTTTGTAAATAAGAGAGCAACATTTACATTTTCAGCGGTCCAACACATGCTTCATTTTGTGCTGTAAGCTAACCTTTTTATTGCTACAGATGCTTTAAATGATTCAGCTACTGCATATGTTTTGTGTCTTCTATGTCTCACATTATATGTGTTCTGTTCTTTTAAATTGTGGTATATAGCCTGGATCAGAGATTATGGACAAAGGTTTCTACCTGTTTTACTAAGGCTCTTGGAGACTGACCGGTCTAAGGTTTGCCATGCCTTTTAAACATGGTATAGAATAATTTTTTTTAAGTCTCTGAGAGTTCTGTAAGATTCTGGTGAAACCATGTCTGTGTAATCTGGTCCAAATGTTTGCTCAATTTCTATAAGATGTAAGTTGATGCAGCATCACTTCAGATTAGTTAATGGAAGTTTCATACAAATATTTGAGTTATGAGTGCGCTATATAAATGGATCCTTTCTCTATATACAATACTATAGTAGATTAAAGTAATGAAGTTAATAAGAATTAAAAAAAAAAAAAAGTATACATAAGAATCCCTAAAATAAATCTAATATAAACTAAAATTGGTATACCTTACAATAATATGTTCTGAGTACAGCTGTTAACTGTTTATTCTGTGTAAATGGTGATTGTGATAATGTGTGAAGTGTGCAGCTTACCTGGAAAGTGGTTTAATTTATATGTTGCTGTGTTGTTTTCTGATTGTGTTCTGATATAGCTATATGGGAATGGAGATTTGGAGGTGTTAGTTTAAGACTGCTTTCATATTGTGTCTACCCGTGTTTCCTAGGAGGGACACAGAGTGTGTAGTTGTGTGCTCATGAATGTGTTTTCAATATTGGCATATCTGCTGGGTACCCGATACGTGTATCTACTACGTCTGTTTTGTGAGATGTCTGTTTTGTGAGATGACATGTAATATTACATTGAATGCTGAGTATGAGTTATATGGTTTGAAATGAATTGGTGTGTTATGTGTTTCATGTATTTTATTGTCCATTGTGTAGGAGTTTAACTAGCAGAGTGATTTGCATATCATTAACACAAGCATTTAGTGTTTTTACAAAAGGTGAAATGCTGTCCAGCCGGCTAGAATGAAACAATTGTATGCTATCGCTCCTGGAGCAAGAAAAGCGCTTGTTACATCCCACGTGAAAGGGGCCCCGCAAACTTCTGCTGTTCAAATCGTGGATCCACATTTCCATTTGCAAATTGATTAATCCTGAAAGTCATTCTTTTACTGATAAAAAGGATTGAATGGACAAGATGTCTCTCCCTCATAAAGGAGTTCTAATAGGGGAGTATTGTCCAGCTCAGAGTTAACTCTACTTTTAAAGTATATTGCATTGTTTGTGTCAAAGTAAGATTCATCTAGTATGTCTCATTGATTATGGGGTAATAATAACATGGTATTTTTATTGGAGATTAGACAATTTCTGAAATTTATAAGTGAGGTAATTTTAATCTCCTAAACTACTGTATTATATTTGTATGGGTAAATTGAAAGCATTTTGCAGATCCAGAGGAGCATTAATAAATAATATAATAATCTCACTAGGAGCCAAATTATGCAAAGAGGCTATCCAAAGTATGCACTAACGGGTTAAACTTGTTTTCTTGATAAGCGTATAACATTTAGTTTTGTGGTTAGACTTTTGATACTCAATTTAAAATATGTCCCAACTACATCCTTGCACGGCACCAGGTACAGGAAGCAATTTGCGTTTTAAAAATTTGCAAGGTCTTAGTGTTTTCAATATATTATAACAATGGAAAAGTACCTAACCGCATGTCTGCATTATGCTCATGACACAGACCCTATATGAAGGCTATGCAAACCCTATATGAAGGCTATGCTTTCATTGTCGATGTATATACCCCTAGACAACCTTGCTTTATATACAAAATTTAACTATCCATTAAACCTTTAAAAGCTTATTAATATTATATCTGTGTGGTACACAAAGAGGGGGTGTTAGTTAGGTAATCCCATCCTGCATATGGAATAAAGGCAGAGGTAGAGGATTTGGTCAAAGGGTCTAACTTTTGTAACAACTTCAGCATTGGTGGAACACACTGTTCTAATTGTGGATAGCAGGGTCACTGGAAAAATGAGTGCCCAAACCCACCCCCACAGATTCCTCAATACCAACCATAGCTTCCAACCTATACCCACACCCAACAACCACAGCATAATACACAGATGGTTCATGTTTGTAATATTTTATATGGTTTTAGGTATTAATCCAAGAGTATTGAATTATTCGGGATTATTAAAGTAATTAATTTTGAATATCAAATCAAGGTTCCAGTTTAGGAACAGAGTTTTATTGGGAATTATCCCCATATGTATATGTTAGTGTTTTAATATTCATCCTAACAAGGATTTCTATAGAGTGAGTGCTACTCTCATCCGTACAAAGGCATTCCAAAGGGGTATAATGTAAAACTTCATAGAAGACAGATTGCATAAATTATAAGAGAAGTACATGTTACACAAATTAAGGGTTTAACCTTAATCTCTAATTTAAGTTTTAGCCTAGGTAATTAATTAATGTTGTATTGATCCTTGTGTTTGTATGATTGTAGAGACCGTCCTGGAGTGTTTGTGCCGCCTGATTTCTGGGACTACACATCAATCTCTCCGGTTGACCATGCAATAAGTATTTTGCAATTACATCTGTTTGGTCATTATCCATGCAGGCCGAAGAAACTGAGATACTTATTTATGAGGACATAAACTTTGCACGCAAGAACCTGGAAAGTCCTGAAGGTGCAGTGCTGTCTAATGCCGCTGGTTCTGTAATAACCCTTTCAACCTTTGGGGTGTTGCACAGAGCTTTGTGGTGAAAATCCAGCAAACAAAAGAAGAACTAAGAACTATTTGGAAGCTGACATTGTCTTGTTGTCAGCCATATTGCTACCCTTAGCCATTTTTATGGAACAAAATGTCTGGTGTCTAAACTGATTTCTTTATACTCTGTGAAAGACTTATTCTATTTTTCTGAACTATGCTGAACTATTGAACTATTTTTATTTTTATTTTTGTAGAGTTAGCCGGAGAGAGAGGAAGTGTTAGCTGACCCAGGGATGGATGTACTATGTGTGTTTTTGATATGTTGAGTGTGCCAGGGATGGATTCCCATGTTTTGAGGAACTGCGTGAGGATATGACTGGCTTTGACTGGACTTTTGGAATAGGGAAATGGTTAAAAGATATAGGACGCAAGGTCCTGGTTGTGCAAAAATATAGTTGCTATAAGCCCAAGTTCCATTCTGTCTTAAACATCCATTTTCTATATATCTGTCTGCAAAAGTATTAAGTGGTTTTTGTTTTGTTTTTTTTTCTGCTGAGTTTCTGTTTCTTGTAGACCACATGATTGCTTGGGAATGCCATAATCTGGACATTTCTCTGTCTTGGGAGAATGTTAACCGATGATATGAGCAATATATATTGCTCAAAGAGGGGTAACAATTGTGATTATTGGGGCTCAGTTGGATGGAACACCGGGACACATTGGGGTTATAAGCCACAGAATGCATTAGATAAAAAGGATACGAATGGGAAGTCCCTCTTGACTAGAATGACCTTAACAAAGCCAGGTACATGTACCTCTATAGGGCAAACTGGGCACTCCATGAAATTTACCTTAAATATTGAAAACCCCAGTCCTGGAGATCAAGGTATTTATATTCTCAGTACCTTTTTAAGAGGAGGTATTGGAGGTAATCGAGGAAAAATCCAGTTAAAAGATATATGGAACTCCTCAAAATGGGAAAGCCTCACCTCTAGACAAACTCTTGTTAATCCTCTAAAGCCCCACATTCAAACCCTTGGTGATATGATGGCCATAGCAGATCCCACGTTTGGAGATACCATAGCTTTAGAAACAGGGTATGCAGATACAAACCTATGGCTGGAATGGTTGAGATATAATGCCCATTCCAACAATAGGTCAAACTGTTATGTATGTGGTAGTGCCAGACCTCATCTAGGAACTGTACCCTTACATGTCCCTGATGAGTACTGGGAATGTTTCCTAAGTTTGTTTTCAGGTATCACTGTTAATACTACAGAATGTGAAGAATGGAAAAAGGGTCACCCTATTGGTGAACCCAAGTTTAATTTAAATGATGTTGTCCCAGTATATCCTGGTAATTATACTTGTTTTCAGGGAAATAATAATGGTAAGGTGGGTACACAATTTGATAACTTTTCTTCAGGATTCTGCTCCGCCTACAGTAATATTACCTTAGTGAATCAAACACAATCTATATAAAAAATACGTTCTAGACTCCCCACCCCCTGGAGAGGAGAATGTGCCCCAGCCAAAATAATCATGCCCCTCCATATATTTGGCGACTCTCTCCCTGAAATTAAGGTTGTAACTGATTCCACAAGAAGGAAAAGGGAATCCCCACAAGGTAGTTTCGACCCACATATCTATCTAGATGCCATTGGTATTCCAAGAGGGGTCCCTAATGAATTTAAAGCTAGAGACGAGGTGGCAGCAGGATTTGAATCAATATTTCCTATTATAACAGCTAACAAGAATGTTAACTGGATTAATTATATATATTATAATCAGCAAAGATTTGTAAATTATACACGAGATGCATTACAAGGTCTTGCTGAACAATTACAGGCTACCTCACAAATGACTTTCCAGAATAGAATGGCCCTTGATATGGTTTTAGGAGAAAAGGGAGGAGTCTGTAAATTACTTGACTCCGGTGTTTGTTGTACCTATATTCCAGAGAACACTGGCTCTAATGGTAAAGTAACCCTAGCTATAAAGAAATTGGAAGACCTATCCATAGAAATGAAGAGGAATTCAGGTATTGATCACCCATGGGCAGATATGTTTAAGTTTGACAGTATCCTAGACTGGCTAAAGAATATTGCAATACTTATTGTTATGGTTCTGATCCTTGCTCTACTTGTTTATGCTATTTTCAAGATTATTGTATTCTGCATTTACAAACATACAAGCAACACTGTTCCTGTAAAATCCCCAGCTTGAAATGATGAGTATCTCCAAATGTATACACATAACCGAAGCAATGGTGAACATACTGATACAGATCTATAAGTTTGTGGTGCTGGTCAGATGCCTAGTCCTATGCCATGGGAATAGTGGCCGAAGACATAATGAAAGACCTGCAGGATTGGCTAGCAATCCTGAATATACCATGGCAGATGGCTGGTTGTCTGACCAGGACTCCTTAAATAGGGTATGAGCAAGATATTGCTCAAAGAGGGGGAAATGAAGGAATATTGACCCCTTAAGGACACATGACATGTCATGATTCCCTTTTATTCCAGAAATCTGGTCCTTAAGGGGTTAAACAATTAATCTGTCAGTATTTCAGAACTGCTTGCAAAACATAATTGAAAGGAAGTCACAAGCTATGACAGTTTCTATGTATCAGGAAATGCCTAACCACAATGTATATGTGATATTTTGTAAGATTAGATTATTGAATGTAACAGCAGAAACTACTTCCTCTTTTATGTATCTTGTGTAACCTTTTTGTAACCTTTTTGTAACCTTTTGTAACCAATATTCGTGACAAGTATAGTATAAATATAGCGAATCTTGAATAAACGATCAGAAGATTATGGAGAGCAAAAAGTGTGTGTCTGGTTAATACGCTTCCATAAAAATCTTCCCTGAATATTCAGCTGACAATCGAGGGTTGGAGAATAGTGACCAGAGGGACCGAGTCACCAGAGTAGCAGATTTACCTTTCAACAAACAGCACCCACACACATACAGCACCCTCACACACAGCACCCTCACACACAGCACCCTCACACACACAGCACCCACACACACACAGCACCCACACACACAGCACCCACACACACAGCACCCACACACACAGCACCCTCATACACACAGTACACAAACAGCACACTCACACACAATCAGCACCCTCACAAACAAACAACACCCAGAAACAGCACCTTCACACACACACACAGCACCCTTACACACACAGCACACGACACCCACACACGACACACACACAGCACCTTCACAAAGCACACTAACAGGACCCTAAGAAACACACACACACACACACACACACACACAACACACTACCAGTACCCTCACACAAAGCACACAAACAGCACCCTCACATACAAACAGCACCCTCACACACAAACAGCATCCTCACACACAGTACACTAACAGCACCCTCACAAACACAAACACACACAAACACAAACACCCTCACCCACATAGCACACTACCAGCACCCTTACACATACATCACACTACCAGAACCCTCACACCACCCTCACACAGCACACAGACACAGCAGTGTATGTATGTGTGTGTGTGTGTGTGTATATATAAATATGTGTGTGTGTATATATATATATATATATATATATATATACATACATATACACGCAGCGTGTGCTTGTGCTTTAGGGTGCACACCCTATACTCAAGGAAATTGTGTAGAAATAATTTAACCTCTGTTTTTAATCTTTCAAGATTATTTTCTTTTCCGGAAGTGATTCAGAGGATTGGAGGAAGGCAGATGTGGTTTCTATATTTAAAAAGGGTTCAAAATCCTTGCTTGGAAATTATAGACCTGTGAGCTTAACTTCTGTGGCTGGGAAAATATTTGAAAGGTTATTAAGGCATAATATTCAAGAATTCCTTGAGAAGAACATGGATATCAGCAAAAATCAGCATGGTTTTATGAAGCAAAGGTCATGTCAAACTAACTTGATTGCGTTCTTCGAAGAAGTAAGTATTGCAGTGGATGTAATCCTTTGGTACAATAAATTAGTGTTCAAACTCAAGGAAATCAGTCTAGATGAAAATGCTTGTTCTTGGATAGAACATTGGCTTAAAAATAGAGTACAAAGAGCTGTAATTAATGGTAAATTTTCAAGCTGGACAGAGGTGGCAAGTGGTGTCCCTCATGGTTCTGTTCTGGGACCCCTTCTATTTAACCTGTTTATAAATGATCTTGAAAAAAGCATTGAAAGTCATGTTTCAGTTTTTTTGCAGATGACACAAAACTCTGTAACGTACAATGTGAGCAAGGTGTAACTTTGCTGCAGAGGGATTTAGATGGACTGGGCACTCAAATGGCAGATTAAATTTAATGTTGAAAAATGCAAAGTTATGCACTTTGGAGTAAAGAATGCATAAGCAATGTATACCCTTAATGGAAACGAATTAAGTATAACAACACACAAAAAGGACTTGGGAATTGTTATAGACAACAAACTATTCTACAATGTGCAATGTCAATCAGCAGTGGCTAAGGCCAGTAAGGGATTGTCATGCATGAAAAAGGGCAATAATTCTCGGGATGAGAATATCATTTTGCCTCTTTATAAATCACTGGTAAGACCACGTATTGAATATGCTGTGCAATTTTGGGCACCTGTTCTAAAGAAGGATATTATGGCACATTTGAAAAAGTGCAGAGGCGGGCTACAAAAGTAATAAAGGGAATGGAACACATCAGCTATGAAGAAAGGTTAACAAATGTAAACCTCTCTAGTTTAGAAAAACATCGCCTGAGAGGGGAAATGATAACATTATACAAATATATTTAGGGCAAATAGAAAACCATTGTGTGGAAATCTATTCACAAACTGGACTTGACATAGGACACAAGGTCATGTGTTTAGACTGGAAGAAAGAAGATTTTATCTAAGGCAAAGGAAAGGTTTTTTTACTGTAAGAACAATAAGGATGTGGAATTATCTGCATGAAAAAGTGGTTTTACATCCACACAGATGTTCATACAGCAACTAGATGCATACTTGCAAAAACAGAATATTCAAGGATATAATTTTTCAATGTAGGGTAATAACTGCTCCATCCAAGGATAAATCTGACTGCCATTCTGGGGTCAAGAAGGAATTTTTTTCCTAGCTTGTTGCAAAATTGGAAATGCTTCAAACTGTTTTTTTGCCTTCTTTTGGATCAGCAGCAAAAAAAAATTTGTGAGGAAGGCTGAACTTGATGGACGCAAGTCTCTTTTCAGCTATGTAACTATGTAACTGGTGGTTGACTATGCGCAAAGACATCACAGATTATGTTTACACTTGCTGCATATGTAACAGAACCAAACTGTCTCATACTCTTCCATGTGGGTTACTGCAACCTATCCACTGAATAAACCTTGGGCAAGCATTGCCATGGATTACATAGTTGAATTGCCTATGTCTGAGAGAATGATGGTAATTCTAACAGTAGTGGACAGATTCACGAACATGGCACACTCTATTCCGTTACCTAAGTTGTCTTCCTCTCCGGAATTGGGTAAAGTCTTTGCTAAAAAAGGTATTCCGTATACATGGGATGCCCCAAGAAATTATCTCTTACAGAGGTTCTCAATTTGTGTCCAAATTCTGGAGAGCATTTTGTTCACAGATGGGAATTTCACTTAAATTCTCAGCCGCTTATCATCTTCAAACTAACGGGGCAGCAGAAAGGCCTAATCAGAGAGTAGAACAATATTTAAGTTGTTTTGTCTCTGCTCACCAACAGGTTCACTAGTCCTGTGATACCCCATTCTCCAGATCAGGTGGAGAACCAGGAGGAATTAGAGGTCAGTGCTATCCTGGACTCACGGATTCCAGGATTCCAGGATAGCACTTGGTGGACTGGAAGGGAAACTGTCCTGAGGACAGGTTCTGGGTGGCTGGTTCTTCTTCCCTGCTTGATCCATTTATTCCACTCTCGGTTTCCCATCCACTCTTCCTGTCTGGTGGTCGGTCCTCCGGGGGGTTACTGTCAGGTTACCGTGTGAATCAGTCAGGGGCATGTCACAGGCTGGCATCACATTGCAGGGTATTGGGACACTCCTACCAACTCTCAGCTTGTCCCCAGCTATTCTCACGCCAGCCATGACAACCCCGCCTCCTTTTATGATGCGGCTAACGAGTGCCGACGTCATGACGCTAAGAACGCCACATCCGACAAGGTGTCCGAACAAGAACATTTTGGGGGCATGGTTACCTACCTAATTGAACACGGTATTTAAAGAGAAACAAGGGAGAGACTCATTGCCCTGTTCTTGTTTGGTATTATTGTATTCTGACTTTGGCTTTGTTTGACTATTCCTCCTTCTGTGCTCCTTTGATCTCGGCTATTGCATTATCATCGATCCTGATTTCTGGTACCCCTGACCTCGGCTCGCTATTTGACTATTCTTTCTGTGTGTAGTGTTAGTGTGGCCATCCTAAAGCCCGGTATACATTACTAGTATTTGAATTCTGCGTGTAGGATCCCCGAACGTTCCTGACAATAATAACCAACATTATGTAATGAAGGACCACTTATATGTGATGTGAATAGTAATGGAGAGACTTGGTGACAGCAATTGCTGGGAGACCACTAAGGGCACAACTTGAAATATCTTAGAACCTGGAGGAGTAATACTATGTACATTGAAATAGCAGAATCTGCCAGACACGTGAGCCCTACGAGGGCTAAGGAAATTGTTGTAAACATGTAAGTGACAACCAATATATACCTTGCAAACAATTGAAGGGTAACACAAGCAACTTAGACTACCAGCATATGACCAGCATATGACTTCAACCATAAATTAATTGCATTGAGACATATAGCAAAATTCTAATAATGCAGAAACTCTGTAAACTAAGTGAATCGTGAACCTGTCACATGTATAAGCCCGTTGCCTGAAAATAATGGGATAGCTCGGAGACAGATAAGTGGTGAACGTAGATAAGTGATTAATATAGCGAGGGCCAAGTTGATAAAACCAACTTATATAGAGGAAATAATAGAGTAGAAAGGGTTGAGATCCGGAAAAGTATCAGTACTGAAGAAAACCAAAAGAATAGCATAGGTAACTAGTATGCGTATCAACAAGAATATGAAAATGAATGAAAAGTATCTACAAGGACCGTAACGGTGGACAATTCAAGTCTAACAAGTCTATGAGAAGCAAACCAACAACCTCTAATTAGTATAACTAAACCAAAGTAAACCTTTGTTAGCCGATGAGTCCCATGAGGGAGACGTTCAATAGAAGTCAATATGTTCCAGTAAACATCCAGGTGTCCGCTCAACTCTAATTATGATAATCAGATTGAGGAAATATTCCCGCTACATAACTGTAAAATAATGATATCTGTATACTAGTTGCCTATAAATGTACTACCCAGAATCTAAAACAACATTAGTCCCTGGCCTTATCTTATAGTTAGGACAGCCCTTTACTGTGTTAACCTCTACCACTATCTTCCAGACGGCACAGATGGGACCATGGTCTCTGTGCCCGACCTGCAGGGATGCTGGACAGCCTGTTCAAATCCCCAACTACCTTTTCAGGGATACCAGGAGGAGGGGATAGGTACTATTTCCCCTCCCAAGCCAAGGCCTAACCCAGCTGCCCCAGCAGAAGTGCTGACATTGGGACAGAGCGCAGCTGGCCTCTGTCCCTCAAGTACCCATTTGTTTTGGATGGGCTGTTCTTGCACTTTGTTATTGTGGGTGGGTTGTCCGACTAACTCAGGCACCAACCGACAGAAGGTCAGGTACCTGGTTAGTCTACACCCAAGGGGGAGATATGTGGCGAAAGCGGCCTCGACATTTGTTTTTGGAGGGGAATAATTGCCAGCCTCGTGCCTTGGGACTATGGCCCTTGGGAGATTGGGCACTTTAAAAACAGTCTTGGGGCTTATGGACTTCTGGACTGTGTATGGCCCTTGCTAAACTTTAACCCCATGACGACTTGACTGT